GGTTTGAGGGTTTTTTTTTTTTTTTTTTTTGTGGGGGGGGCTGTCTTTTTTGCCTCAACACCGCACCCTGATTTGACATTTAATGTGACATGACTTCTGTGCTCCTTTGTTATTTGGCCACAACCACTGCATTTTGACATACAGTTTTTTGGTGCCTCCCCCAGCTCCCCAACTCTGCTGCAGAGTCATGCTCCTTCGTTTCTTTGTGTGTGCCTCTGGTTAAAGAACTCATGACAGTAGGCATGTGTCTGCTCTGACCCTTCAGGATAGCACCTCTGAACATTTTCCAGGGCACCAGAGCTTTTTAAACACTCTTGTATTTCCCTGATAGCCCTAATTTTTTTAATGTACGTCCCTAAAACATGAAAGTTAGCTGGCAAAACAAGGTGGTTTGTCTCTCTGGAGCTATGGCCATGCTCCCTGCAGCCCAAGTTATAGCACAGCAGCACTTGCACCCTGCCACCATGGTGTTTTTGCTCCTCAGGTACCCCTCTCCTCACCTGACCAGGGAGCTGCACAGCCCCCTCCAGCCAGCAGCCTGCTGGAATCTGGCCTCATCCTCCTTCCTGGCCCTGCTGCCAAGTGTCTCTACTTTCTGCAGCCGTTGTTTGTGCAGAGAAAGCAGCTGTGATGCCATCCTCAGCGGGACAGTCTGTAACTGCAACTTGTCCAGCAGTATGGCATGGCCCAGCACGTGGCACTGGCATTCGACGGCCAGAGAGGTGTGCAAGATGACCTGCAGCTCTTGCACAGCATGCAAAAACAGGTCTCCTTCTAAGGGCCATACACACATGTTCAAGAACACACACACAGACCTGCAACTCTGCAGGGACAATGCTGCCTTTGAGCCAGGATGCTTTTATTGAAAAGACTCTGCTACAGGGAGTTTCTTATCCTGTCCCTTCCCCACCTAGTCCTGCAGCAGGAGCTGAGCAGCACCTGGAAGGAAGAGTCCTGAAAGTGCTTTACTGGCAGGTTTGTTCCTGGAAAACGCTGGATCCTGTGATGCTTGAGTCCAGGGCTGCAGAGCCAGCACCCCAGCTCAGTGACAGGCCATAGAGCAGAGCACAGAGGGAGAACAGCAGCCAGGGCACCAGCTGCCATCTCTGCAACAGAGAGCCTCCTCACATCACCCTGTTCCCTCCTACTGCCAGCAAGAGGGCATGCCTGGGCCCAGCCTCAGCCTTGGACACAGAGCAGTGCAGATACTCAGTGAGAGACTTCTGCCTGCAGGCTCTGGGGAGCAAACAAGCACAGTCCAGACATCACCTCTTCACCAGCCCCAGGGAGGTCGATGGCTCATGTTGTCCTCGCAGGAGCAGGCAGACAACAGCAGCCAGCAGTTGACTCCAGCCATATGTCCTCTCCTTTTTTCTTTTTTTTTTTTTTTTTCCTCCTCCACAGTGCAATTCTACTCGCCCTTTGCGAGTCCTTCATTTCTCTGACATAAGTCCAAGTTTATCTCTGAATCAGCTCTGGGCATTCAGGGCCAGCCCTTTCCAACAGGTCTGTGTCACATCAGCCAATCTGGTGCAGGCCATGTGACCAGCTCCAGCAGCAGAAGCATCAGCAGTGACCATACCCCTCCCCCCGGCAAGACAGAAGGAGCCACGAGTGGGATGTGACGCTGTTAAAGCTAGCGTTGTCCCCAGAGCAGTGATGAACTATGCAGCGCACATCCTGCCAAGCCTGCCGAGACCTTGCTGGGCCTCACCACATTATCTCCTCCAGGCAGTACAGGCATCGCACTGCTCACAGGGTGCTCAGCAGCTCCCCTACAAACAGCTTGAATGTGTCAGGACTGAGCCCTGCTAGGGAAATGGCAAAGCCACAGCCATGCCCTGGCACTGCCTGCTCACACCACTCTACAGAATGGCTTCTGCCAGCACTCCCTGCCCTGGCTGCACGCTCTGCAGGCTGGCCAGGCACTGTGGCAGCACTAGCTCCTCGTGTTCATTTGTGTCTTTGTCCCCTGCAGCAGGGAGAGGCCTTGAAGCCCCTGCACGGCAATGATGGGGTGTAGTGGAGCCCCATTCTCCAGCAGGGATCCACTCTTCAGCTGTGCTCACTGGGCCCAGCTCCACAGACAAACCCTCCTGCCACCCAGCCACTAATTCCCTGGTGGTGCTGGGGCGAATGCCTGCACTGCCCCATTCCCTCAGTCTCAGGGCCAAAAGGGGAGCATCCACTGCCCTCCGCAAGTAGCCCTCCGAGCCCAGACACAGCAGCTGAGAGCAAGGTCTGCTCCAGGCTGCCTGCTGGACAGGCGTCCGGTGCCACATGGTTGCACCCAGGCCTTTGGCCAAGCCAGTGTGCAGGGATGTTGCCTCCCCTCAAGCCAGCACACCAGCCCCTCTGCTCCCCTAGGCTTGGCCCCCTGGGCTGGTGGTGTGGCCCCCCCACCCTTTCTCAACTCTGCGCTCTGCAGTGGCAGGGGAGCAGGGCCAGGCATGCGGGATGGGCAGGGCCGTGCACTGCATGCACGTCTGGGAGCCGGCTCCATGCACATCCCTGGACAGGCGCCCTCGGGAAAGCGTAAGTTCTGATACACTGATCTTCGCATGCAGAGTTCCAGGCTGGGTGCCTGGTGCTGCCTCTTCTTCCAAGGCCTGCTTTGGCTCTGGCAGGACGCCCAGGACCTCAGACGCAGAGCTGGTGCTGCACTTACACCTCGATTATATTGACCGAGGGAGACTTCTTCTATGAGAGAAAAATCTGCTTTAAGGCCCTGCTTTGCTAAGCCCCTGGGAAGCAGATCCCACGGCAGAGCCCCCCAGCCTCCCATGGTAGGCACTAAGACCAACAGACCTCCTCTGCAAAAGGGCTGCCAGCTGCAGCTGAGCCCTCTGCCCTGAGCTGAGGTGTGGGTGAGCTGCAGCAAAGACCCAGCTTCAGCGTCTCCCTCAGGAAACGAAGGGAGCTAACCCTGAAACCCCAGCCTTTTGCACTGATGTGCTCTCCTGGTAGAAGGTTCAGATAGCTCAGCTGCATCGCCTGGTGCCTCCCTCCAGGTGAGTCTCTTCAACCACACACTTGCCTCCCCAGGAAGCCTTTCTGCCCACTGCTGTGCCCCAGTACTC